GCCATGGACATGCTTAAAGATATTGCACTTTATACTGGAATGGATGATACCTGAGATATCCATGAAACCAGCCCAGTTCTTCGTTCGGCCCAGCCCGTCGTCGTCCCGTCGTCGTCGCACCTCTTTTCGGTGCTCCACAAACTCGTCCCAGTGCGCCAAGAAGCGGCCCTCCGCGTTCACCGCGACACGCTGCCTCGCCGGTGACGGTGAAGATATGCATCAGGGTCTGCTGGGATATACTGGGACCACCCCAAAGTCACATCTGCAAACTACAAAAGCAGAGTTTTATCTATATAAAACTATTATGTGTGAAAATCAATATACTTTTCTATGTGTGATAAAACTATTACACTAATATCGAACATAAACTCCGCAAAGCTATACTTATTGGTGGTAAAAGCTGTCTGAATAGGTGGTACCCCTCAAAGAGAAAACAAGAACAAACAAAGTGGGACCAACGGTCTGAATCTGAAGAAGCGATGCTTCTCTACTTGTAACCTCCCTGGCAATGGCATGAGGAAAAACAGTAAATCCCCCCCAAAGAGAAATATGGTATGGATTGAAACTTGGTCAGCTCTTGGCTCAAAGGATTATTGATTCTTTTCAGTCTTAAACCATCCAACTAGGCTTAACTTACCTTGGATTGTTTTCCCTCAAGATGTCCTCTGTAAAGCTCACTAAAATTCGGTGCTGAGCTACGACTCCCCATCGACCATGGGTCTCTGAGAAGGTGAGGAAATCTCGGCTTTGGTGAAGTCCCCGCTTGGTGGGAAGGGTAAACCCCCCATGGAGTTCGGGGTTGTTGTCGTATACCCCATTTTTGGACAAACCCAAACTTAGATAGTTACTTAAATTTATACCCCCACGAATCCCATCAAATTTCTATAATATTATATATGTATATATATCCCCATGAATTATGGCTGGGTCTTATACATCTGACATAAGTATATCGTTTTATACCCCCCTAATCCACCATATTTGGGGACACCCAATGCCCAAGTTGTAAGCGGGTAATGACCATGGTATAACCCACTCATAAACGGGATATCCACAGTTAGATATGGCTCCACTGAACCACTGAACCCCGGTTCAATGATGTCACCATATGTCACCGGGCCGCTGCTGCGCATAGCCGCGTTGCCTCGCATGGCATGGCAACTTGATCAACTGAAGCTGAAGAATTGGAAGACCGAGAGTGTACATGGAATCTTCTACCAGTTGCCATTGAAATGCCTACATATTGCATTGGTCAAAAGACCAATGGGGATTATGATCGGAGCTTCAGCGAAAAATCCAGCCATAGATTGTATACTATGTGGCACAGCTGCGGATGTGCACGTCCAAACTTGTGTAATATATATATATATAAACAATAAGCACACATATGTACATATATATATATATAAATAAGTATTTGCATATATATATACACATATATATATATATATCATAAATAATATATATATATTGTGTGTGTGGGTATCTGTACATTTACAGGGGGATTATACCAACCTGCCGCAACCGAAGGTTGCAAAGCCTCCTGGGTTTCCCACGGTGCCGGAGAACGAGCCGCGATGTCTCTGGAAGGAACCACACCAGCGCCTGCCGAGTAACCCCCAGAAGATAGAACTGCAATTTACCACTAGTTATAGTTATCTATATATATATAGTAATATATAGTAATAGTTATAGTAATATATAGTAATAGTTATATATATATAGTATAGTATAATAGGTTTCTATGATCTTTTTAAGAGTATAGTTATAGTTATAGTTATAGTTATATATATATAGTAATATATAGTTATCTGGTTGGTGGTTGACCTACCCCTCTGAAACATGATGGAGTGAAAGTCAGTTGGGATTATGAAATTCCCAACTGAATGGAACAATAAAATTAATGTTCCAAACCACCAACCAGTTATGGGTTTCTATCTATTAATCTACATTTTGTGGTTTAATAATTGACCTAGTACTAGTAAGTATACCTATTGACCTACAAAAGACAGAAGATAGGATTTGGTTCAGGCCACTATGAACCACCATATTACACATTGAGGAACTCCCATATTAGCCGGGGCCGGGTTTGTGTGTTCAGTTTTGGGGGTTTCTCTACAGATTACGAACTGGAAAGATCTGAAAAAAACAGTAGGCTTTTGGAGTAGTTGGGTGAGCCAAATGATCATTTTTTTTTTTCTCAGCAAGGGCTTTGACCAAAGAACACTTTCAACCGGTCGGCGGGTCCAAAAATGGCATATGCCCTCCATCTACCAAGCAGGTCCATTGTAAAGTGCAACTTGTTTTTGGATGGTTTTGGAGGCTGCGATGGTAAGCCTCTTACTCATATAGCTACTCAAACCTACATAGCCTTGCTCTTGGTCCTGCGCTCCACGGTGGTCCAGGGATTGTTGAAATGATCAATGCAATGTGAAAAGATGAATGGTGTGTATTCTTATCCAAAATATTTTTTGGTTTAAGATAAACGGTTGCACTCTTCTAAAACAAAAACATATTGGAATATATTGGATTTCTTGCTTGCTTAGCCTAGCATTATTCCCCAGTATTCGTGTGCAATCTTATCCCATGATCTCGATGAATTGCGCCTCCAGAGTTAGAGGCCTCAGCTTGTCCAGTAAATTGACTCAGCAACCCCCGAAAAAGTAGGAAGTAGATAAATCCTACTAACATATACTAAAATGGATGTCAATGACTTTCCAATCTATTTTTTGGGGGGACTGTATAATTACCTGTCTTTAGACCATGATAATCAATATACCAGTTGATTGATTGTGTTGAGGCTGTTTGAGGGAATGGACCGTCAACATGCCACGGACAGAGAGGGCTGTGCAACCAACAGCACTAGGAAGGTATCTCCTGCATCGATGGATTGATTCAATTGATTAAAGGAAAGATTTACAGGATACAATTTGATACAATGGCTAAAAAAAAGTCACATGTAGGGGCTGTGTGATGAGAAGGGATAGGCATAAAATGAAGGTCCAGAAGCGAGGCGAAAAATGTAGGCTTTACTACATGGCTGGATTGAATCTACAGGCAGAACATCATTTTTTTCTTACCAGCAAATAAAGGGCTTTCCTGAAAAACATCCAATCCTCCAATTCTGCAAATGATCAGCAGTCATCAAGGATCATATGTCATATGACCAAACACATGTACCATGGTCATCTCAAATGATAGGCATAGATCACCCTTACTTAGCGGCTTCCATTAGTGCATGCTCAGCAACAAGGTCAAACCCTGGTGCTATGACCTACGACCTACCCTGCGGACCATGGTCCCAATATGAACCAAATCTCATTGAGCCAAGTTTACTATGTCTGGGTACAGTAACAAAAAAAACATACCCTCTGGTAATTTAACATAGCTATTGAAAATGGCCATTGAAATAGTGATGTTCCCATTAAAAATGGTGGATTTTTCCATAGTTTTTTGTAAACGTTTACCAGAGTGTAACCCCGAAATATCAACATCATACTGGCCATCAACATACGTTTAAAACTACAAAAATGGGCCACTGGATGTTGCTGAGCCAGGACCCCGGACTGAAGCGGAGCATGGGGGCATCACGTCGGTGATAGGGCTGCACTTAGTCGCCAGAGTTCTAATATGCTTCGCTTATGTCACTCACAGGGTCATGGGTTCTGACTCCTCTTGTTTCATCCTTGGATACCTAGCGATCTTCCAAGTTCGCCACCCATGTGAGACATTTGGGTTTGGCTGGTGTGTCTTTCAGATTTGTAGGTATCATGGGGTAAACTTACATAGCTTTCAGACTTTTTTGGGTACCGTGGGGTAAACTAACATAGATCTGGGTTCAGCCTTCGTTTCCCGTTCGGAAAATGAGTCTGCAAACGGTGGGTTTTCCACATCCATGGACTGGTTCACCGGAGGCTACCCTCTGGTAACTTGTTGCATAGCTATTGAACATGGCCATAGAAATAGTGGATTTACACCATTAAAAATGGTGGATCTTTCCATAGTTATGTTAGTTTCCCAGAGGGTAACATTCTTTTGGACTGGGAAAGTGGACTTGTCGATCGCTGCCGCTCTGCGTAAAGCTCTTGAGACAGCAGCCACGGAGAAGGATCAGAACAAGTCACTGCTGGACGACCAGTACCTCGGGATACCTCGGGGAGACCTCGGGGTTAATGAGTATACCACAATCATAACCCCCATAAGTTGCTGGGGTTCATGACTTTTTCACCATGTTTTATATTTTGTGACACCCCGACACCCCACTTCAGTGCAGAAGGCATCCCCAAGTGGGATTTCCCTTTGAACATGGCCATAGCTGGGTTAACTATGGTTAACTGCTCCTCATTGTCAGACACACCCAACTATCATATCAAGTTGGCTAGTTTGTTTCTGTCCTATATCCCTATTATATCCCCATGGTGTCTCGCCATAGTTGTTGGTGAATTCACCATTTACATCCATTTACAGTCTATAGCCATCCAGGATTTATGGGTCAAATCCTCATTTCTGATGGTTTAATTTCCATTTTGGTTGGTTAAATCTGATCAAGATCCCCAATGTGGCAAACCAAATACTAAACCGTCCCCAAAATCACCATGAATGGATTGTATAAACCATCCTCAAATGGAAGGTTTATTATTGGATTGCCCACATTATTGCTTCCATCAAGTATAACTTGGGGCACCCTTACAGACTGTGTTTTTACAGAAATCTGCCGCCCAGCAGCTGCACAAACCTCAAAAAATCTAAGAGTTTGGGATGTTGCCATGCAGTGAAAAAGACCAGCCACACATATACAGTATATGTATGCATATATATATATATACTGAACAGTTTCAAAGAAGCAATGCACTGTTTGGTCTGAACATATGCATATATTATCATATGCATATATACATATATATATATATACATTGCACAGCACATGTGCATACTGTATCTTTGTATTGAATGCAACAATTAGATCACTTTGAGTTTTGAAATCTCCCAGCTGCACCTTCTTTTCCGCGTCCTTTTCCCTCCTTTTCCATGCCCACACAGGCGACGATTCTATCCAGTCTATCCACGACCACGCCATCCGGAATTGGCACGGTTCATCATGAAGTCTTCCACATCGATCAAGGTGGCCTGGGCCAAAGGGCTGACCGGTGGTGTTTTTTTTTGTGGTTGGTGAATGTAGTGACTGGACCTGTATGTATATATATATATATATACGTGTATATATATATATATATACTGTATCTACATATATATATAATATATGCTACAGAACTTGGGTCCATGATGCATGTGCAAGTATCTGTAGTAGAATGTAGTATATATGGGTAACAATAAAAACATAGAAGTGTCCTGTACTGCAGTACAGACCTGTATAAACAACTGGGGGCTGGTTTCAGTCATCTGGAATCATCTACAACATTCAGAAATGCTCCGACCTCGTCCAATGGAACAACGACACCACATTGCCTCAGGACTGGAAGCAGAATGGTTGGGATGGCTTTGCAATGTGGACACTTTATGGTGGATATGTGATGATGGTTTCTTGATGACTCTGCAACATTGACTTTATTGCTGTATCTAGCATCATTTAAGGTAAGGTCAAATTGCGGTCGCTGTAGTATAATAAATATATATATATACATATATATATATATATGACCGTAATATGTATATATATATATATATGACCGTAATATATATATATATATACACATATGTATGTATCAAATGTCACTGGGAAGTTTTTTTCCTCAAGATGTATTGGACAATTTTTGTCCAACGTCTCATTATTCTTTAGGGGGGAACTTTCGCTGCAGAGGGCCCTCTGACATTGTGTCTTGGTAAGAGTAGTTGGCTACCCTCTGAAGATTTAACATAGCTATAGAAAACGATCATTATGAATGATATAAATTTCCCTATAAAAAATGGTGATTTTTCCATAGCTAATGTTGAATTGCCAAAAGGTATATACTGCAATTGACCCATGAAGTGATCAAATTTGCCACTTCCTTGGATGTGCTTGGCGGTATTGCTAAAGTTGGCGGTTTTCATCCATTTTCCCAACAAACAAACATCCCATTACTTCTCTCTTGAAAGTAATGTGGGTAAAACAATTTCATGAACCATCCCCCAAATCACCATATATATATATATATATGTGGCATAATCCATTCCCAAATGGATACATGGATATAAATGGGTGGTTTATTATTGTTTTTACTAACATCAACCCACAACTGGAAATTCCGGAATAGACTGGCAAGGGTAGCCGGGGTGACAACCGGTTTCTTGTCCAAGAAACTGGTAGCCACTCTTCTCGGGACAATCTTTTGCGAAACCTCTGCCGCAATCTGACCCGGCATGCCACATGCTGCGAAAAATATTGTGTACACTCGAGTAATCAAACATGGCTTGGACAATTCCCCATTTATAAATGTTTTTTTCCCATCAAAACACCTGACCTATATATATACATAAAATATTATATATATATATATATATATGTATGTATGATATTATGATAGTTCATAATGGATGTCTAATTGCCACGTTTGATTACCAGCCAGGATATCTGGATAGGTGCAGTACATTCAAAACCTGGGGGAATTCCCAGCCACGCAGATTGCCAGGCCTGGCATGGTTCCCTTTCCGTATCGGATGATTTCCGTGATCTTCTGTGGCTCCTGTCAATTGAGATGTCAAAGTGCGTTTTGGACATCGCCTATGTACAGCATCATTCGTATCATTTACAGTGTATGTGTAAAAGAAATGTACATATATATATATATATATATACACCATTCATGTGCAGAAACGTTGGATTTTGAATATGTGTTCAATATGTATATTACAATATATATATATATACATATTATATATATATATACATATTATATATATACATATATATATATATTATAGATAATGGTTTTTAAAGTCTATGATCAACCGTACACTATACTCAGTACCGTGCCACGATGCGTGCGTCACGACTCACACTCCCGGGTCCTTGAGAAATCCCCATCTCTCCAGGTCTTCCAGATTCAATCCTGTGGATTTTTTAGGGGGTTTATAAGGGGATTAAAAAACGGGATAATGGGAATTAATGGGGATTTAATGGGAATCAATGGGAATTAATGGGGATTTAATTGGATTTAATGGGAATTTGATCTGGTTTAATGATGTTTAATGCGATTTCGATGGTGTTTCCCTGATTTCTATGAGTTCTTTATCTGATTGGTGTTTCGAAAACCCGCGGAGAAGAGTCATTGCGCATTTTCATTTTGGGTGATGGTGTAAATCAAGCAGTATTCGAAACCATCAGTTGTACAACACGAATTCTTCATCACTATCATCATGCTCTTCATTGCCCATCTTCATTTGCGTCCAAAATCCCCAAATCCCAAAATCCAATTCTTCTGGGTATTTTTTCAAATATTTCACTAAGCTGAATTAAGGCATCTTAAGGCCATGAATGGGGATGATTTCCCTTTATGAACCATTTAACCTTGATTCCAGGGTTCGGGAGAAGAGTGAAGTCGTTCGAATTTTCCCAGGTCAAATGCTACGCAGTGTCACCCAGCATGTCAAGCAGGACGAGTTGTGAGGTGAGCACTTCACACTTTGGGATGGAAAATCAAGCTGATGATCGTATGCATATATGTATATAATATATATATATATATATATGTGTGTGTTATATATTATGTTATATATATATATATATTTGTTATATATATATTATATATATAATATGTATTTATTATATATATATATATATATCCATACACATATATATCTAATATCTGTCTATGTAGATATACAGTATTATCTGGAATATCCTGGAACCCCCAAAGAACCATGCAAACATAAATTCTGGTTTCCGCAAACAACCCTGCGCTATGATTCTGGCTGTTTCGGGTTCCAGGCTGATGCACTGAACCGCTAAAAGGACATGTCTAAGCATTGAACCTCAATGAGTGAAATGAGCAGTTTCCAGTGACCCTAGCAATTGTGGACTTTGCTGCTTGATTGAATTCCTATAAAACTTGCATTTGTGACCATCAACCAACAGAACGCTTTGGTCTCGTTGATCAGCCCTGCCATGAGCAAGAATGTCGCCGGCCCAAAGCCGCGTTGAATTCAACACCAGCTAAAATTGTCTATACACTAGCTGGTGTATGCAATATGGATTATCCTAGCTCAACCATACTATCATCATCAAGTCCAAATGGACTCTACACATGCCCGGTCAAAACAATGATTCTGTTGAAATACCAGTAACATCTGTTGAACAATTTCACATATCAACTTTTGACATCCTCTTTAAGATTTTTAAGTGCTCCACAAGCTTTCCATATCCTGCAAAAATGCAAGTGGTCAAGCTGCACACCCGACAAAATGGATTAAATGGATGATGGTAAAGTTTAGATCCAACAAAACATGAATACAAATAAAACAAATGTTTCAGACCCAAAAAACATACAGTACCAGCCGTTTCTCCAGGGATGCTCCCCACCATCTCCTTTGGACACACGAACTTGGTTCATGCCACCCGGATGGCACCTTAGCGAATCTGACGTCTATGGAGGTGTTGGAGTCCCCAAATAGTCATGATCTGATGCTTAAATGGTTCCCCCCCATTAAACAGCCTAAGGGTTCTTAATCCAGGGAAGTTATTCATCAAGTTGCAATTTTATTTACATGGACTATGATAGATTTGTGGGTGAGTGTTGAATGACAAATAGCCGAATAGTCGGGTCCAATGGTCTAGAAACTCTTGCCGCTTGAAATGGCAATGTTTTTTTGCATGTTCTGGCGCCATAGAAATCAGCTGCTCCAAACTGACGATCTGAACAAAACATAATTTTCAAACTAGTTCTGCCAGCCATTCGCTTGATGTGCAACGACAAAAAAAACGTTGACTGGTCAAATCAGTGCGGTACGCGGTACGCCCAAACATGGACTGGCTTTAATACTCTTAAAATGAACCACAGTATACATATATTTACTATTATACACACATATTATCACATATTACTTATTGTATATTTGTATCATATCTTCATAAAATAATTGTACACTAATATATGGAGGTTTAAACATGCTTTACATCCTGGATCCAAGTCACCATACGCAAAGCCGAGGTCGGCACCCCGCACATTTGGCAACGAAGACGTCCTTGCCGTACTCGTACCACTCCTGGCGACCAACCGGCCGGGAGAGATGAGCAAATCCATCTGACATTGCGAAATGCACCTCTACACAGGCTGGTGGATTGAAGTCAGCGCTCCTCACTTATATATCTAACCATGAGCCATGTAAAAATAGTCATGATATTACTGCTTGGATGTGACATGCGGCATATCATGGCATATCTAGATGCCAAAACTAATCCAATCACAGGATCACTGCCTGTTTCCAGCATCACTTGTGAAGGGCCGGTCATTTTTTCAGCAGTCGCAAGTCCAAGAACCGGGGAAAGTGAAGCATCTGGGCTGTAAAGCCATGGTTACAAGAAGACGACCCGCCCTGTTTCTTAAACTAAGCTATTTTTAGATATTTTTAGCGGTTAAAGCGTCTCGAAGCAGGGTTTCAACTGGGGCCCCAAAACGAGGCCAACCAGAAGAAACATGAACGAAACTAGTTAAACTGGTTGGTGGTATACCTACCCCTCTGAAAAATATTAGTCAGAGTCAGTTGGGATCATTATTCATATTATTCCCAATATATATGGGAGTCATAACATTATATAAAAATCATGTTCCAAACCACCAACCAGTTCATGATTTCCCATCTGTGGATTGGTTGAATATGGTTTTTCATACCTTCAGGTGAGAACAAACACACCCCGCCTCGCTACTCACGTCCTTGGAGGGACTGGTCCGCCTCCGTTGACGCTCCTGGCGAGTGACGTGGGATCCCCGGGACCAACACTTGAGGCTTTTATGTCATGGCAGCTGGAAAATCCATGAACATCCGTTATTGATAGATGATTGCTGATGATATTCCCATTATATATGTTTTACAGATTAAACAGCCCGAAAACCACAACAAGTTAGCGCTTGTTTCTTGAGCCAATGCAACACGGTAGAATGAGTGATACATTAGTATGTACAGTGAAATTACCCAAAAACACCCCCCGCCGCCCCGCAGTTTCACGGAGAGCGGAGAGATGTAGTCCTCCAGAGGTGACCTGAGAGAGGACAACATGGAAAAACATCACTGTCAACTACGTCTACCATGGTGTTGCGGATGCTCATAGCTCACGGATGCATGAAGCAAATGGGCGGATGCAAAATGGTTTTCCCGATCCCAAGCATGGCATTTGTCGGACATAGCAAATGTGACATCGGCCTGGCTTCCGCCAAGGCATAGGAGCATTACCACTCCTTTATTGCCCTGGAAACTTAGAAGCTACTGTAACAGGCTAATGTACACGGCTATATACACGCAACCTACTGCATAGGATCGGATGCTGGTGTCAATCTCATTGAACCAATTGAGAAAAGTTTTCAAGTTAATCAAGTTGGAATTTAAAGTTTTGGAAATGTGTGCAATTCGATTGAACTGAATGACCATGGGTCAGCTTTCATCCAATCGGCCAAACCTTCCGGTAGGCATAAAATCATGGCACAAGATGTGAAACATCTACCACGACTCAAACTCTACCGTCCCATCATTGTAGGTGCGCTTGAAGTGCGGCTGGCCGTTGACCTCGCAGTACTCCTCAGCAATCACGAGCGGCATCCTCGGCACTTGCTGTGGAGGTTCTGCTGCAGGAGCTGATCCAGAGGCTACTTGGGCAGGGTCGCCAGCAGCAGGAGTTGTGTCAGGCACAGGCGTCGCTGTTGAAGGTGGCCGCACTGGCTCTGGAGGAGCTGCCGAGGAGCTTGATGCTGAAGATCTTCCCCAAGGATCAGCAGTCCAACCTCGGCCAGAGTAGCCCTGATTCCAATTCCAGCTTTGCCATTGGGCCTGCCCTCCCGAGCGGCTTGAGTAAGATCCATACGAACCCCACTGTTGCCCTCGGTTCCATCCACTGCGGCATTCAAAGGACTTGTGGCCATATTGACCGCACTTCCAGCACTCAATAGCCTGCTGAAAGATTGGGCGCTGTTGCTGACCATACCCCTTTCCTTTGCCCTTGGCTGGCCTCTGAATCGGGTCAAAGTGACGCCGGTATCCTTCTCGCCCTTCGCCCGTACCCGTCTTGGAGGACCTTGCCAATGGAAATTCAGCCACATCTGATGCAGTGGCTTCATCAACGAAGGAGTGTTCCTCACCCTTGATGTTGTTGTATTGCTCCTTCCACTGCCTTTTCGCAAAGTCGACAAGGTCGAAGAAGCAATCTTGGGCTGACCCTTGATCCACAGGCATCATAGAGCCAGACCAACCAAATAACATCGGCGTGGGTTCCCCCCTCGCTTTCAGCAAGTCCGCAGCAAGAACAGCAAATTGTGGGAGTGTAAAAACTCGTGCATGATGTGCAACCATGGCTTCCTTTGTAACGTCCAACGGGAGTCGGATGTCTCTGTTGAAGTCTGGCATAAAAATCAAACGAGTGCTGACACCTGTTCCCAGCTGCTTTTCTCGCTTCTCTCGGGTACGGCCGACATCAGGGGCAATGCATTTTGCCAAGTCCTCCAAAAATTGGCAACAGTCGGGAGTGATCTGGCCGACCGCATTGTTGAACAAATAAAATGGGTCCTTCTCCATGCGGTCCTGGATCGACTTGAAGCCGAGCTTCGTGTATCTTCCCGCATGTGTCTGAGCAGCGTCCTTGAGATTTCCGAAATTGCTTCGTCCAGCTCGACGTTGATCTGCTCGGGTGCGGTCGGAGACTCGCTGAGCTCGAGGCTGCTTCTCAAAGTCGATTTTGTCCAGAGAAAATACCTTGTTGGTTTTCTTGGCCGAGATTTCCATCCGGCATACCTCTGTCGCAATTCTTCCATCCGACCAAGCAATCAGCCATTTGAAGCACGACTGACACTTGTGTGTGCCCTCAATGTTTTGTTCACCGCAGAAGTGGCATCGGACCTGTTGCATCTCAATCTTTGAGCTGTAGATGTAATCCTCAGCATTGGTTGAGCGCTGGACCTGCCCTCCCGGGCGGCTTCCTTTTCCCTTGCCTTTTCCCCGGCCCTTGCCTTTGCGAATGGTTTCGGCATTGGACAAGGCACCAAAGGAGGCCATCTTCAACGTCACTTTGTCCTCGAAGGGTCCTGAAGTTCCTTCACGTCGACGAAGAAGTGGGGGAAGCTCTTCTGGAGAGTCGGTCATCTGCATCTGGCCGGGTCGAATGGACTTGCCGCTCATGAGGTAGGCCTTCAAACTGTCCCTGGCGTTGGCATACGGGCTCTTGGACAAGGCTTCTTTCTTCGGAGTGTCCTGGTCCTTGTGGGTCTTCATTTTGCTGTTGTACCCCACACGCGTGATCTCATAGGGGCGATTCACCCAGGCAAACTCCCTGTTGACAGCATCATATGTGCAAATGATGTTCTCGTTGGAGATCCAGTCAGGGCTTATGATTGCTTCGTCTGTACGAAACAATCGGCAGCCGCTTTGAACGATGAGCTCGGTGTCAAAGGCAATGTAATATTGCTTCCCGGCTCGCGTTCCCGCGAGCTTTCTGCCACCGACTGAATCATCCCAAGGATGCGACGCAATAAAGAAATTATGCGCCCTTCCGGTTCTTTGGGGCCAGCCACCTGGGATGAGACCATGTTCAACTATCTTGTCCATAGCGAGCCTGTCGCAGCTATGGTAGATAACCCTTGGAAGTGCAGCCAACATCTCCGGCACGAGGTCTGGGCGAAGATTTGTCCTCGGCAACTTGGGCGTGTCAAGGTCAGCCTTGGTAAAGGTTGGATCCAAGGTAAACACTTCCTTCACCAGCGATGAAATTTTGGCATTCTCCACCACTGCACGGTTGTGTCCTTGGACAGCTCTGATGGCGACAACCTTCCATGGCAAACCCTTCCAGGTTGCATCAGGCAAATCGGGCTGAGCCACTTTCACCTGAAAGCGCCTGGTGTCACTGTTGCGCACGATGGACAGGACCTCACTGATCTTCGGGTAGGAGACATAGTGGGCCATCGTCTTCATCACCGCCTCGAAATCCATCGAAAGATCCATGGGATCGATGTCTGGGCTGCGAGCACCATAGCTCAATGCGTGTCCTCGGAGAACATAAGATAACTTTGTGGAAAGATATCTCAGTCGCCCTTGGCCGCAATACTCCTTGGGAATCCTGTTGATCATGTCATTGGGGTCCAACCATACTGATCCCTCTTGGCGTTCCGTCGCTTCTTCCAACTTGCGAAGGGCTGCATCAGCTTCGACACTGAGTCGCGGCGCTTTCTGTCTGGGCTGCGCTTTTGACTCTGGTGCCTTTTGCTTCTCACTCTTCGGCATTTTCTTTTCGGCCGGCTTTCCAACTGACTTGTCAACCTCAACCTTCTTCTCGGTCTTGGTCAGGTCGACAATGGCAGTCTTGTCAGCAGGCTGTTCGGAAGAAGCAGAAGCCTCAGGAACTACAGCATCAGTCGGCACACCCTCCCGGGCAGCATCAGCACCTTCCTTCTTCTCGGAGTCAACGTCCATGGCAGTGGCTTCAGATCCACCGACCTCAGTCCAAGTTGAGATCCTTGAAGAAGTCATGTCGCTGGGCTTGGATGCTTCACCACCAACCACGCTCCACGTTGAAATCCTCGACGAGGTCATGTCTTCTCCTCCTTGGTCAGTCTTTGCGGGTGCATCTTTTGCAGCAGCAGGGTCATCGGCCGACGTTCCCGAAGGCTTTGCCTCAGTTGATGTGATCTCGATGATCTTGTTGAGATCTGCAACCTCCTTGGCTCTTTCCTCCGAGATTTCATCTTCCTTGACCTTCTCGTCATGGGGATTGACAACGATCTTCTCATCCAGGATCACGTCCCACTCATCAAACTCGGGAACGACTTCAACATCATCGTCGACATCAGTGTTCTCCGGATTGATCTCGATCGACTCGATGGTTGTAGTTGAGAAACCATCAGCAACGGCCTGATTCAAATCTTCTTGAAGGTATTGTCGGGCCCTGACCTCCTCGGTTTCGTAGTCCTCGATCGACGGGTCAATTGGGACGATGGAGCTGATCTCTTCATCAGTGAAAGCAGTGGGCATCGGCCTTCCCTCCCGGGTGGCTTCCTCATTGGCTTCAAGAATTCCTGCATGGACCCACATGAGGATCTCCTCATCTGCCTCGTCAAAGACCTGGGCAGGGGTTGCCGTTTTCTTCTCAGTGGAGACGGCTTCCATGACTTCTTGAGTGCCGAGCAAAGCCAAACGAAACTGAACCATCGTGGGGAAGAGATGGACCGCGGCCACACGGTCTTGTTCGTTGCTGATGAACTCCTTCACAAAGTACCTGAGATCGTCCTTCTTCGACATGAGCTCAACGTATTTGAGATGGAAGGTGATGGCTCCTCTCAAGAAACGATAAACCAATTTCCGGTTAAATTGGTGGTCGTGCAGGTGGTAGTTGTCGTACTTCCCACCCTGAGCGAGCATAGTGGAGTTCACACATTGAATGCCACGCTCTGCCAGCCAATTGATGTGCTTGCCCATCTCACGGTTGTAAGATGGCGGCAATGAGTACCCGGAATGGTCACCGTTCCCGATGACTTGCACAGACATGACACGGGGGTCCTTGGAAATCTCAACCAGTCCTTCCAGTGATCGCTGCACCTTCTTATACTGCTTGTCGACGTACTCGGCAGCGACCTTCCGGTCGGCTTCTGACCTCGTGAGATTGGATTGGTGAATCCATGTACACCCTTGGTACCCAAAGTCCCCGTGCACATCGTTCCCCGCCCATCCGACGACGACCATAATCGGGAGTGTTGCTCTGTCAAGAAGGCGA